GGTTTGTATTCTTAATACGGGTGAAGGTTAAATGTACCCCGCTGTTTTTATCGTAATAAGAAAAAATATTATTAACCATCTAGCAGATTCAGGTCGAGACTAATCTAGTTACATAATACGATAAGTGCTGGATTAGAATGGTACGTACGTAATGTGGACTAATTAATATCTCTGCTTATACCACTTGGCATTAGACTTAAAGCAATCAAGTAATTTATTACTAATATGAAATACAGATGGCGTTGTTCTTAATTTGAGAATTAAAGAAAATAGCTTTGGTATTCATAAATAATTTATTGTTATTTTGAATGTATTAATTACAACTACTGATTAAGTAACTATTGTTTATTTGCTATTAATCTTTGTTATTTAACAGCAACGATATGATGAATATTTCTCTTAATCTTGTAAAACTGGTTTGTATTCATAATTAATATTTTATTTCAAAATTTACTTTACGCCTAATCATGACTAACTTACTATAATTATGACTAACTATGAAGAACTCTATAGTTTTTTTTGTAATACTTTCAAACGAATATTTGTGAAATTGTATTTTCTACGTCTTGTCAATCAACTTTCCCGTATTAATTGCGGCCAACATGTCTGAAGCTACGTGGAAAACATTCTTAATCGAACCCCATCGTATTTTATAGTACAAATGTGACAAATAAGCGAACGGCCTGTTTACCTAACACGAATATTTGCGGCAAGGGCTATTGTTTCGTCTTCGTTAATTATGTCTAAATTAGTATGAAAATTTTGGTGTACTTTACGCCCGATAGATGGCGCTGCACAACGATACACTGGTGATTTTTACAAATATTCGTGATAGGCCCATCGTAGGTTTATTTGTGCTGTAACAAATATTTTCTTCATAATTCATGTTATACCACATTTTTTTTACAAATCGTACGTATTGATTGATAGTATAAGCTGTAATCAATTAATTATGCATTCACTCGCCCTATTGTGGCAAATAGAACATGACGTTTGTGGTGCGGCCATGTTTATGCATCGAGACGCTATCCTACTTATGTCTGTTTATTTCTTTTATGTTAATGTCGAATGATGAACGCTTTTTGTCAGCTACGATGAATTATAACTGTTGTATAGAATAAATATGACGAAAACTTCGACTTTTTTCATTAGTTTATGTAATACAATGGAAATAAAACAGCCACTAATGTTTGTTATGAAATTCATGTCAGATGTTATCATATCTATCTCTTCTTTTAGCTACTATTAAGAATACCGTGAGTTTCTAGGACAAAATCCCAGTGTAAAATATATCGTTATCTCTGTTTAATCAAATATGAAAGACAGGGATGACGATATATTTTCTTTTTATTTATTTTTGGCTTCCGACGTTTTTGTGCATTAGCCAGCGTCAGTTACCGATATATTTTATATAGAAATTTCAGTGTCAGAAATCCAAGGTTAGTTTTTTAATTTTTTACTATTGTCTCTTTTAACGGCCAATCTAATATTTTAATAGGTTTTATTCCCGATGTTGCCAATTCAAAGAAACTAATCTCTTATCGTAATTTGTAACGTAAGAAAATATTTATTTTCAACTGAAATAAAATAAGAGATTTTATTCAATTTACTTAATTTATCTATCATTTGTATAAATATACGCTATAATAGAAGATTATGTTATTAAGGTATTTATAAACGAAATAGAATTCGATTATTTAATTTTCCCGCCATGTCTTCAGTTGGCGGGAACGGCGGCCATACCGGATGCCGGGTATTTGTAAAGTCACTTGTCTGTTGTCAAAACGTTTTTTGTTTTTTATTTTAAATTACGTCTAATTCGCGACAATAATTAATTTTATTGCTGATATTATTTATTCACACTGTAATTTTTTAGCGTCAAAGTACATGATAATATTAGTTGGTGTACATCGTCGGTGGCTCAGGGGTCAAGCACTTGACTTGCAATCTGCAGGTCCTGGGTTCGAATCCCGCCATGTACGTCTTACAGTGAAGGAAAACATCGTGTTGCAACCTGCACATATCTGAGAAGAAATTCAAAGATATGTGTGAAGTTAACCAACCCGCACTTGGCCAGTGTGGTTGACTACGGCCTAGTCACCCGTGAGGATAGGCTCCGAGCCCCTCAGTGGGGACGCATAGTGAGCTGATGATGTACATATTTAAAGGTATATCCTAAAATTATTTCATTGCGTTTTAATTTTGTTTTTTTTTTCATAATAAGACACTTCACAGCTCTTATTATATCTTACTTTTATCGACAAGTAATATTATTTGCTTGAAGAATACTAAATTTTATGGTAATTTATCAAATATGTTATCAATAAAATTAAATGAGCTATAATTTTAATGTTCATAACCGTAAGCACTAAATTAGGCAGTACAAGAAATGAGGGCTCACGTTATCAACTGGATTCGAATGCGGGCGCGCGGTCACCAGGCGTGACCTTTTAATTACTAAGCATATACGGTCTTTCGAATGATGATTCAACTTTAGGGTTGCCACCTAGTCTACATTTATACAAATTTGACAGCCCTATTCAACCCGCATACCGAAAGTGTTATAATGTAAATATTAATATAAGATAGATGGATGGATGTTTGTTAGAAAGTATCTCTAGCTGCAATCTGTCTGAAATTTGGCATAGACATAGAACATAGTCTGGAAGACCACATAGGCTACTAATTAAATTTTATTTATAATTCGCAAGTCGCGGGCAACAGTTAGTATGTAAATAAAAGGCAATATCTTAATATGTTTGTGCTTAAATTCATGCATATTTTGTTTACATTATATTATAAAGATATCACAGGTTATCGTGTAACCTTTTGAATGAACTCGCCAAATATTTTAAGCATTTATCATAAATGTACCACTTTATCGAACTAGCACAGTTAATTGGCATAATAAGATAATTTTTACTCTGTGACGACATTAGCGCCATCTACATTATTTTGGGGCAAACAATTTTTGGAACATCAAATACCAACATTGAGCAAAGTTGCTACAGACGTCTTAGCAATGTAATAAGTAGTTACATGCTATGAGTTCGTTTAAATGAGTGTCAGCTGCGCCCACTGTCGTCAATTCATTCAATTTAAACTTGGCTCTCGCTAATTACGCTAAATGGAGCTCAATTCGTCGCAACAGACTGGCATTGCGATGTCTACTCATGTAAAAAACGACAAACAAGGAAAATGTGTGATATTTTTATAAATAGACATGAAAATTAATTAAAAAACAAAGAAACTCTTGACGTTTATAATATTTATTTTAGTAGTCCTAATTGTTTAAACTTGTCCTAATTGTTTGTTTTAATTGTTTAAACTTTCGTGAAAACTTACTAATACAGATGCGAATGTTAGGATGGAGGGATGTTTGTTAGAAGGCATCTCAAGAAAATTTGGCATATATCAGAATCTCGAAGAACACATAGACTATTTAATATTTATTTTATCGAAGGTGATAACTAGTAATGTCATAAAACTGATTAAAAATGGCTTAATTTTCGTATGATCGTCCGTTGACTTGTTTCGGACCTTTCGAGGGTCCCTCCATGTTCTTTTTTTAAACATATTTGATTCCTAGCCTTAATGGGCCTTGTGGACCCGAAAAAATGATCTTTATTCAGCAATACTAAACATATTGTATTGCAGATGTTATGAATGAGAGTTAATTTCGCCACTGAATGAATGCCTTGTGCTTTGAAGACGTTCCTTGTACGTTTGTTAGAGCTTCCAGATCACGGCCCGCTAAATAAAGTTTCTTGCGGGCCCTTAAATCGATGCTAATTTATTCACAGACACACTTTCTTTTCATAACACAATGCTTGCTTCCATGTAGGTTTTAATAATGTTTATATTTGTATGTAATACAATAGCCATAGATAACTAGCCTTCTCCCGCGACTCCGTCCGCGCGGAATTAAAAAACAAACATAATTAGTATCTTATGTGTTCTTCCAGACTACGTTCCGAGATCCGTTTAGCCGTTCTGGAGATACCAACTTTTTTTTTCTTTTATATGTCATCTTGGTCGTTGTTTTTGCTGCCAGTGTTTATGTTTTTTTTTATTATAACTTTAAAATCGTTAAATACTCTATGTATTAAAATCTCTAATCTCTATCGCTATAAAAGCTTTCGTTTTACGCAACTTTCTCTTGCTAATGTTATGCTCACGTGTTATTAGGTCATGTTGTACATATAATTTATAGACGTAGTTTGTGTTGTGATGATTTTGTAGTGACTTGGAGGTATTATACCTTACATACTCTTTGACAACACAGACTAAAATATCTAGCTAGTGTCTGCGACTAGTAGCCTATGAGTTCTGCCAGACTATGTTCTGCATTTATGCCAAATTTCAGCATGATTTCAGGCTGTATAGCAGGCGTTCCGGAGATTTAATAAACATCTATCCATACATTCCATTCGCAGTAAACAGTATAGATTTTTGTGTAGAAGAAAGCTGAAGTAAAGTTTTTTTTGGTTATATTTTATACTATTTAATATCTTTTTGTTATGATATTATATAGAAGTATTCAAATATGTAATAAATAACATAGTAATGCAATCATCTGACGGTTATTATGATACGGAATTCTATTATGTTGAAAAACATAGCTGACTTGATTACGTACTGTTGTCATTTCTAACATTGTTTCGTTGTCAAACGCGCGCTAAAGCGAAAGAGGAAGCCCATTCACAGGAAAATATTTAAAGTTTTCCTTTAACTAAAGCTTAAATCTATCATTATAAGCTAATAAGGAAGTTTTAGTCTTTAGAATTCAAGTGAATGTTGTTAGGACTTTTGTTAAAGCTTTGCGACCCGGGAGTTCGGAACACGTGCGCGTTTGTACTATGTAGGTAGTCCGATCTGCTTCATTTATCTAATGCACATTGCATTTGCTTTTAGTTTTTAGTGCGGTTACGCCACGCGTCCGAGCCCGCGCCCGAGCCCGCGCCCGCGCCCGCCAGTGCTCCGCCATCGCCACAGAAATAACGTCGAATATCGGTCACAGACTCCAGTGAGAATGAACGCATCCAATTAATTGCCGGGCATCAGGCACACCACTAGCGCGGTGCACGCGCCGCGCGCGGACGTTTCCGTGTACACGCTTTTTTTTAAATCGACAAGGAAAAGCGCGCGAACAAACGTCAACGTCGTAGTGACGGATTTATGTTTTTTTTTTAATTTATTTAAATAGTGCGTTGTGCTGAATATTCCGGCCAGTATTTATCGTTAATTAAAAACAACGCTTCTGCTAAAAGACAATTTTTTGTAAGCAGGAATTATTAAAAATAATGTCTTCGATAAGCAATCGCAGCTGAGTGCAAATGTCGTCGCTATCGGTCGCTCAGCTCGATCACCGTTGCCGAGGTTGTTTGCAAACGATATAGTATCGAGCGCACAATGATCGCGGTGAACGGCAATTCTTCTCGGAAATCCACGCGTTGATTCATACACCGGTTATCGGGTTTTGCGGTGGCAGCAAGCGGCGGCATGGCGTGCGAGGTCGCAAGTTGGGTGCCGAGCGCCGTGGCGGCCACACTGCGCGCCGACCGTTCCGCCACGCCTGTGATCGAGTGGCTCGCCCTCATCCGCGCCTCCATAGAAGAGTACGACCCTCTAGTCGCAGTAAGCCCGCCCGCGGACCCCGAGCCCGAGTCGGAAGACGCCTTCGATGCCATCCTCTCACAGCTCGGGACCGAGATCTACAAGCTGGACGAGTACCATAGGAACCTCGTTCCCGCGGAGGAAGAGGTCTCCCTCAGCATACTGAACATCTTCGACGAGTGCCTGCAGGCGATGGAGCCCGCGACGCGAGACATGGACACGGTGCCCGAGGATTGTGTGGTGAACGGTGCGGTCAGTGACTGTGAGTCAAGTCTCTCGGATGTGTCGTTTGTGACCAGTACTCCCGCCAAAAGTGATGAAATGTTGGATAGTGATGTGACACGCAGTGCGCCGGTGCCAGTGCCAAGGAGGACGGCTACGAGTGGGGCGATGGTGCTCGACTCGGACAGCGACTCGGAGAGCACTTGCTGGAGCTACAAGGAATGCAGTTCGGGCGTCGAGGCGGCGCGGACTTACGCTGCGGTGTGGGCGCACTCCACCGGCTTCCACAATTCGGACGAGATCCTCCGGCGGGTGCTGTCTCAACATCACGCTACCATCTCGCGGATTGCTTTCGACGAGGCGGGCGAGTTCACTCCGCCTTCTTACTCGGTGTACTCATTGCATGAGGTGGACGATATGCAAGATGTGTGTGACGTACGCGAGGACGACCGCGAAGGTGACAGGTGCGCCGGCGCCCGTGTCGACTCGGAGGCGCGCTCAGTCGGCGATATGACGCCCGACCGGCCGGACGACGGCTATGAGCCGGTGCGCGACGCGCTCACCACGGACGAGAACATCTACGAAGAGATAGAGTACGGATACAGCTACACGGACGAAGGGTGCTCGTGCGGCGGCAGCGTGGAGGTCGAGAGCTGCTCCGTAAGCGCTAGTTCGGAGGGTGTGGGCCGCGAGAGCCCTCTGTACGCTAACCTACGGGACCATGATGCTTACGCCGTCCCTCCCGACGTCATCTTCTGGAAGAACCTGCTCACGGATCCCTTCTACAACGAGGACGAGGAGGATGAGGTCAGTTTATTGTAGCAGCTCATTTGTTTACAATTTACATTGTGTACATTTTAACGCGCTCACTTTACTATCACAATTAAATTTATTTTTAACAAGTCACGCGTAAACATATTTATAATGTTCCTTTCCTTGTTGTTATATGCACATGGAGTAAATTGAGTTCTTATATGCATTTATAAAATTGACTTAACACATTCAAAGTGTTGTTAAAACCATTATAACGGAAATTCACTTTGAAGACAATGACAAATGAGACGCTTAACAAAGGGTATTTACGGGGATCCTAATACGTTAATTTAAATACTAGACGGACTTAAAGCAACAAACATATACATATTTAGTAGTTATTAGTGACTAATTCACTTTATTACGTTCAACATAAACAAATCTGTAAAATGCTATTAGGTATTTAACATCATTAATTTGCAATTAAAACAAACATTTATCGTAATTAATTATATTCTTCATTAAGAAATAGATTTTGCAACAGAACTATCGAATATAGATAAAATATAAAATAATTAATTTAACGTCACCTTGATTGCTTTCCTTTTAAATGAAGCCATTCGTTTTTTTATAGTTGGACATTGTATCGAACGGCATATTAATTAAGCAGGGCCATTTATGAGTTGCAAATGGGCTCCTTAAGGGGGCGCTGACGGTCGATGATGTCAAATTGCGCAGGATTTCCTGTTAAGTAGACGATGTCAATGCGACGTGCTGCTAACAATGTGACTGTAGTCCGATAAATTTATCTGGCCCGGTATGCAAAAGGGAAACTAAATTATAGTAGCTCTATAGCAGGGCTATCCCCGTTAATGTCAAAAAATTTGTCGCAAAAATGTTGTTGAATAGTCTTTTATTGTTTGGTCTTATGTGACATTTTTTATACCTAACCAGCGGACCCGACAGACGTTGTCCTGTCTACACGTCTTTAATTTGAATATTTGAATATTATTTAAAATTTGACACTGCGATGGTAGCGCCGTCTGTCTGATCCAATGTAAAACATTCCAAAATCAACTACTACTAATAAATTAAAAATTAATCAAAAAAACATTGTCCAGCGGACAAAATTGTGAATCTAAACCATTCCCAGATCCCCTTGAACACACACAAAAAATCGGTCCAGTCGTTTGAGAGAACTTCGGTGACATACACACTCACAGAAGAATTATATATTATATATAAAGACTAGGTTGAAATAATCGCGATAGCAGTGGCCTCAGCGGGCCAGATTAGTTTGTAGGATTATAAACAAGTGTGACGTATGTTCCGTTCGGATATGTTTATGGAAGGGCCTACTATATGCTAATGTTTGTTTTGATGAAACATTTTGGTACGTTTATCCAAACAGCGTTTGAATATGTTTGTTGTCAAAAATTTTAGGTTATGTTATAATTTTTTTCAACATAAACATTAATATAATTAAGCTTTAAATACCAAAATATCATTCGTCTTGAAACGAATTGTTAATAAATTCAAAATATTTAAATCCATCTAGTAGTAAAAGATTGAAAACGATTTTCATTCAAATTAATTTCTACCACATGACCTACAATTCACGGAATACGTCATACAAACTCAAACAAACGATATTAAAGTTGAATGGAGACGTTTATCAAAGAATTCTTATCTATTGACGACATCATTTTGGATTCTTAACAGCTGTAAAAATAGTCTAATGATTAATATAGTTTAAACAGCCGGTAATATCTGTTGACGTCTAGAACTATTCCTAAACCGCCGATTAAAATGTTAATCGGATCTTAAGTCAATAAATCAAGATTAACTGTTAAACATATTTAGTATGTATACACGTGGAAATAAATAAAAAGCAATGATTTCGTTTATATGTGTAAAAAAAAGTTCTTGACTAAGACAATTTCTGTTTGAATTAACGCATTCTCTTTTTATAACCAGCTGTTGTTCGCGGCTATATGATTTTTTTTACGCTGGCAATTTTTGTTGGTTGTTTTGGCGCAAAATAACTTGCATGCATTTGTAAAAAAAGGTTTTTTTTACAAAGAAACATGATACTACGAGTACACAGACACTGACAACGCAAATATAATAACAACATAGTTTTATTGAATACGCTTCGAAAGCAAATAGAAGAATAAACAATTTCGTTTTGGTTGCGCAGAATATTATGCAACTAAATATAAATGTTATAGACGTAAATGTCATTGTATCTTGTACAATACATCTTCATTTTGTTGTATAATCGTTGTTCGTTCTTTAAATTATTAACGTTGGATTGCCATGTCAAATGAGGTCACAGATTAAAATAATTTCTTTGTTTATTCGATATTTCATTAATCATTAGTTACTTTGATTCTGTTCATAATATATTTACGATCACTATAAGAATCATTTAAAAATCGTAGTCCCACGGATTTAATATTAATACATCGAAATTAGTGACGTTCACAAATATTTTTTTTCACATTTTACAAAGTTTAATATAGTCACAAAAAATTTTACCTGCTGCAGACTATTCAAATGTGCTCGAAATTACTTCTTAAAATAGGGAAAGTTTAAAAAAAAAGTACATTGTATTTAAATTCTTGAAAGCAAAACACAATAATATTTTGGTGTGAATTTTCTATTCGGTTTTTATTGTTTAAAATCTGCACATACACATATTTTGTGGATATAGTTTGTAATACGATTATGACACTTCTTGTCATACGAAACCAAATTGATGACGACATTGTGGCATGTTCAATATAGTTTAATTCGCAAAACATTCTAACCATAAGCTAATTTTGCCGAAATACATGTGCAAAAATATATTTATCTCTTTCATTTACTCTGTGCAGAAAGAGATAACTAGATGTTTTTATTTAGCTACTATCAGTGGAAATTCACAGTATTTTAACATAGTATTTTATAACCTTATAGATGGAGTTCTTGATACAAGTTTGATCTCATATCGAAAGTCGATTTTAGAAATATCATTAAATGAAAATAAACGACAAAACTTAGGAAATTTATTTAAACAAACGGTCTCCGAAAACCTATTTTTCTCCTCACTTTTGTTCTCCTTTAATTACATACTGGACTGGATAATCAAAGGCAAAGAGTATTTACATGTTATATAGTCTATGCTTTTGACTTTGACAGACGTCAATTTGTTACTAAGATTATTAGTCCTTGAAACAAAACACTTTTAAATGTATAAGTTAAGAGTCTTTTGGTTCCCACGAAACATTTATATTTTTTGCTACAAAAATGCAAAAAAAGCCCTTGAAATTTGGTTACGTGATTAAAACAAATGTAGAATGAAAATTAATAAGAATTTTTAAAACATTTTATTTTATAAACATCTGTTATCTCTAAGACAAGGTTTACATTGTTGTAAAATAGGCAGACAATCATTTCTACAAAGGAAACCCACGTTTTAGATGCATTGTACAATTCCAGCTAAAAGCGCTTTACTATGCTTTCTTTTATGTGGTCAGTGAAATAACCCAGGGCCGAATTCACTATAAGTCTATTTTTGACTACATTTTTCTACGTATGAACTTAAATATTTTATTCTTTGTTGCTTCTTTTTCTTTATTTTGAATATGTTAACATAATTGATGGATTTCGTGCGCTATAAATTTGTTAAATTTACGTAAATTGTTTGTATAAATATACGACAGTTATTTTTACCGTAACTTTGTACGCTTGGAAACTTGCTACGTTGACAATTTATATTAGACATGTGTTAGGAAGAAAATCGGATACTGTGCCGGTGTGGCACAACACTAGCCTTACTAAAATGTAGACGTCTATGTCCCCTCACTAATAATTCTGACACTTGACTTTGCAATAAAAGCGCGCCATTCGCGCCAAAGGATTGCATTTGATAATGTCTAAAACATGTCACAAATTATGTTACAATTTAGATATTAGATACCGTTTCGCTGTTTTTCTTCCACTGCCTCAAGTATTTAATGTTCCCGTAAGCTGTTCCTTAGAAAATAATTAAGCTAATTAACCAACCTATAGATTTAAAATCTACACTTAAAGACTTCGGTTGCGACTTAAAAAACAAGTAACTGTGGCAGTTAATTTTATTATTTTTTAAAGTTAATTTCTTAAAGACTATTTTCTCTTTCTTTAATTTTATATCACTAGTGTTGGTTCATTGGATGTTAATTTCTTGTAAGTAGCAAATCGGTGATTACGCAAATAAATTCTACAATCGATGAGTCGACATGCAACCTCCTTCGTGCATACGCCGCCATTTTAATATTTATGAAGTGCTTCTGTGTTTATGATTATCGATAATCTATGTTGGATTTGATTTAATTAACACGTTCCTACTGAGAATTATTTCTATTTTTTATGTCATTTATCTAAACATAAAAGCAAAAGTAATTGGTACTAATCTAATCCAGTTCGATCTATTCCAATGACTAGCATTTAAATAAAATTGTCATTTTGAAAGCTTCGTTTGTTTACTTTAATCCTTTGGGATTTGTGATTTTTTTCGGCGTTATTCATTATTGGCCAGTGCTAATGATACGTTAATTCATAAATCTAAGAATTAAATTACTTAATTAGTATAATTGCTGTATAATTATCACCTTCATAACATGTTCATTTGTTCTTTACTTTATAACGAAAGATAAACAAAATGTTTTGTATTCATAGAAAAAAAGAATTATTCGTTCCCGATACAAATTATGGCACAGAGTATACAATCGTATGAAATTGATTTGCAATGCAGATTAGATAGAAAATAATGTTTAACAGCACTCGAGTGAACAAACTCGATTGAGAAATGCGAAAAAAATTAACTGTGTGCCGGGAAAAAATGCAATTATAATATAGGGTTGGGAATATATTGTGCTAATATATTTTCCGGAAAATATTTTTTGACGAATTCTGCTATTATTTTACAGAAGTTTTATGATAAATTTTAATATTTTGTTACAGTTTATTATAGAGTCAAATTTCTGTTTTTCCTTAAAACGTACAAATGAATATCAATACGGGTATAG